AAGTTGGTAATACCATCAGTAATATTACAACTCATTATGTAAAGAAAAAAGCCCTAATATATCTCATGGGGCAGAATAATGATTCATCTCATCAGAATTGATAACATTTAGGTGCTTGGCATGGGAGGGCTACAAGTATACTTTTAGATTAACTAGAAGATTAATATTTTATACAAAATTATTTAAATCGTAAATAAATTTGGTTTATCATATTATTTTGGTTTATACGTATGTCTAGAGTTAGTGTTAGTTGTTCCATGAGAATTATATGATCTAACAGATTGGAAATTTGGTATATGCAAATTATTAAACATTTTATACGTTGATGACAGATTAGTTCTACCAGTAGAAGTACTTGCTGTGTGTCTGAAATTCAAACACAAAATTGATTATCTATATATATATATATATATATGCTTTTACCTAAATATATTCTTGCTGACTTTGTACCTTGTTTTGAATGTTCTATTTAAAGAATTCATTGGTGTTGACGTCTTATTGAAACTATCCAATGTTCTATTACGTACTTCCGAGGACATCAATTTCTTCCGTAGTTCAATGTTCTCCATCTTCAGCTTGTTATACTTATCTTTACAGAATTGTATACTTTGTGTAACATTGTAGTAGTGAGTTTTCAGTGATTCATATTTCTTATCCTTAAATCCAATCGTACAATTAGTAATTCTCAGATGATATGATTATGGAATTTTTAAAAACTGACCATTTCCAGGAAACGTTGTATCACAATTTTCATTTGATTATATTGAAAGCCAAAAATTGTGTTCAGAGATTCCAACGATTCATTAATTGGTACAAACAAATTTTGTACTCTGGATAAAGAAGGTTGTTGCAATTCTACAGAGAAGATGTCTACTTGTTGGCATTGCGGGCAATGTTTCTCAGCTGCATTGCAAACAAATTTGTAGTTATCAAAGTAGAAATGTTTATTACACAGGGTATAACATTTTACTGGAACATCTCAAGTATTCAGTTTATCATAAGTATTAAAAAAAAACATTCAGTGGAAAAGTTATGGGCTTGAAATGGCAAACGTTGTGGTAAGCAAACAATTTCAATATCGATGCATGTTCAAAAGAGAGTGAACACTTTTATTACATATAACATCTATCTTAGTGATAATATAATATAAATTACATTGTATATGTATTGTAATAAATATTTTTAATGTTGTGTAACTTCTTTTCCAAATCATTACAATTCAGTTTTGATTTCTTTTACCTCGTTGAATACACGCCTGACAGTATATGTGACCGCATTGTGTTAAACAAAACGGTTGTCTTCCTCTGTGAACTGTCGCATAACACTTGTTGCAAATATAAGTGTCCATAATAAACGCCAGTTAAAAATAATTGTATTATTGCTGTATCTATGAAAAATCTTGCCTGACAAAGCCTGAGAGAAACGGTAGAACAAAACTACGCTTGAATTAAATTCGAAATCGTAGCTCTATGGCGCCTGACTGTTCTTGTAATTTCCAGTCAAAGCGATTGTATTCATTGGTATCTAGTGTGTCCAATGGTGGCAGGGAATCTGGTCGGAATTTGCTCCAATTGGCGGAGAGGAAGCCTCACAAATAGAATTGGTTGAGTCTAATGATTGCCAATGGAAATCCATTGGGTTCATCCAATCCCATTTGTTATGGATAATTCTCCGACATATACTTTCCTGGAAAAAGGTCGTAAAGCGGTCAGACATCAGAGATAAAGTGAGAGATAGGGAATCACGCACGAATGAAAATTTAAACGTTTACATTTTTCAATATACTTTCATAAACGTATTACGAATGAATTGGAGAGCTTATCCCGATGAAAATGAATCGTAATATCTATCTATCTTCAATAATATTTAGTACAATTTTTTCATAACATCACGTATCAATAAAAGATGTTGGCATATACCCGAGTTTCGACTCATTTCCATCGGAAATGCTGTTCAATGTTTTCGTAATGCTGAGATATATTGAAAAAAATATTCAAATTTACTAGTAAGAGAAATTGGTGATGGTTAGAAAGTATATTTGTTATTGTTAATGAAATCAAATTTAAGGGATATTATAAGCTTTTTTACATATGTTACATAGATTGTGATACGAAAAATAATTTCCAAATAACATTTATTTCATTACTTATGTGCAGGTGTCATATTGCTACATATAATTACGTTCCAAATATTGCTACGCTTTTTAATATTTCAAATTTGTCATTTACAGCACAGAATGCATTACGTTCTTGAATTGCAGTACATCAATTTGTTATACATTTAATGAACCTGAACTGCTTGTATTGTACTATATGCATATAGTGTGCACCCCTAATCTGTGAGACCTAATTTTATTGTACGAAATAAAGGTTATATTACTTCATTAACAATATTAACATCATTAATAATAACAACACTATTTTTTTACAATGTTTATTGGTCATATTGTTATTAATTGCAAAATTAATATACTAAATTATTATACTTAATTATCTTGACTTTTAAATCATTACTTACCTGTTGTAAGTATGTAAAAACTAAGCCACACACACACAATAATCAGATTAAAATTTCTTTGTGGCTACTGATGTTAATTAGATGTAAATTATAGAGTGAGCAGCAAAAACGAATTAGTACCTTTTAAAACGGTATAACTTTTTTTTAACTGGATTAAATGCCTTGAATTTTTTTTAAATGTTACAGGAACTAATTTACTGGACAATCACAATGATTAAAATACTTTTTTTAAATTTTCTATTACTTGGAATTTAAAAAAAGTAAAAACATTCGCGTTTTTTAATTTTTTCATCCGAGCCTACAACGAAAATTTGAAAAATGAGTTTTGCACATTTGGGGAACTTGTATGCATACTTTTATTGAAATCGGCTAATCTTGATATGAGCTAAAGTTCGTGGAAATTTTACATCTTTCAGTGGCTGTATAACTTGATTATACAAACACTAATTTCAATGAAATTTTCGGTATGGATATAAGTTACCGAGATGTACGAAATGTATATTTTAAATTTCGTTATGGGATCATAAAAAAGATATAAAAATGAGTTTATTTCTTTTTATTCCAACAATGTAATGGGAAAATTAAAAAATAATATTTTAGTCATTCTACAATATTTTATTTTCCTTAACATTTAAAAAAA